GCTCACTTCAAGCTCATTCTTTTCATTTAGCTAATACAGTTGTATTTGGAGCATTTTCTGTGATTTCCCCTTGTGTGACTGCATTCTCCAAACTAAATCAAAGTCAAAACGTTTCTCATATTGTGGAACACAATTTATTTGAATAAACTGGACTGTGAATAATTAGAAGACTATTTCAGAATTGCATCTTTCACAGAAAGGGAGCTCTTGAAGAAATCTCTCAAGTACAAGCTTTTTACTCCTCAGTGATGCTGTTTTCAAAAGGAAACAAATACTTAAGCTAGGATCACACAAATCTTCTTGAATTACTTTATTCATGATGAAACTCACCCTTCTTTACAGTAGACTGCTGAACAAAACAGACAATTACTGTTAAACAAAACCAAATAGGAAATTCCTCTATTTTCTTGAAACAAAAAAGGGCACTGAAATTCATCTGGACTCTGCTAAGTTTATCTCAATCTCTAGATGGTATCATCAAAAGCATCATTAGCTGCTGCTACACAAGGATTTTTCAAATTGTTTCAGGCAATCAATTTGGATTTGCACTCCTTTCTCTTCTTTGAATTCTGGCCTCTCAGCCAAGGGAAGTCTAAATTAACTGTTCAAGGTAAACATTTTTCAATGCTTCATGAGCTAAGAACCAGAACATTAAAAACATTGAAACAGCACATGTTGACATTTTTGCCAGATGTTGGAATAGTTTATAATATGTTCCACAAACTGTAATTTCCAAGCAAAGAGTCTGAAGGTTGTATAATAAAGGTAAACTCTGACATTTCATCACATACTTGCACTCTCAAGAAAGAGCATTCAATTTATTTATCACCTATAAAAACATCTCTTCCTTTCTTTCCATTCCCCCTGAAAAGGCTCCATAAACAGCTAAGAAGAACCATCTAAATCATCTAAATGAAGTCTTTTACTGTACCATTATACTGTATGCAAGCAACTATTTTCTTCAAAATTGAGCATTCCTGAATGTTATTAAACACATACTGATTAATTCAAATTCCCTTTTTCTTTCTAAGATATTTTAACTCACAGATGTGATTCAGTTATCTATAAAACACAAAACAGAGCCCTATGTGTTGGCAGCATCATCGTCTCCCCATAGAAGCATGCTCAGATGAGACTGGCACAAGAGAATTCTAAAAACCTTTTGACAAGATATTACTTACTCTGGGCCAGACACAACAGGAGAAGCAAGAAAAACATGTTTCTTCTCTGCAAAACCAAAGCATTCATTTTTCTGTCTGGCTCCTCCAAACTATATCTAACAACCCTTCCCTAAAAGGAAGGTTAAAATTAAGGTTTAATTTCAGCTGTATCTGCATATGACATTTCTCAATATTTTCTTCTGTTATCTTAACTATTCACTTGACCTTTATTCATTTTGGCTTCACTTCCTCACTGTAACATTCTGTACATATCATGTGCATGCTCACTGTTAGGGGTTTTTTTAAAGACAAACAGAGTGATTAGGGCACATATATGCCTTTGTGCAGATGAGAAACACCTCCAACAATCAAAATCTCTTTAACTGTAGTAGCTTGCTCTTTTACTATTTCTGGAAAAAGGGAATATTTTTATCTTGTCACCAATTCTTCTCCCAAAGGTTTTGTTTCACATTAGCTTTTATCAACATAGTCTGACAACAATGAAGACTGAATTATTATCTGTGATGTCTTGAGTAATGTAAAGAAAATTTTGAGGTATCCATGAAAATCGGAGCCTATTTGTACACCAGAAGACAGTAAGTGATTAAAACCACTGCAATCACTTCTTTTTCGATAACTTCCCTGAAAACCAAACAGTACATGCTTCCTTCTCACTGCAAACTACAAAACTCCCTTCTTGTTTCTCATGGAGTGAAAAGTAGATCCAGTGTTTTACAGCCAATTCAATAAAACTTTACGGTGTAGGCATTTTACTGTGCAACAGCGAATTCAGAGGAAGAAAGTTGTGTGGCTGCTCTCTCCTTTCCAGAAATGGTGGATTTAAGATGCTGTCTTGATGTTATGCCCATGATCTCACACAGGCATAACCAACAGAACACAGTAACAGAAAACCTACTAAATGATGACTTAACATTAACCAGCTGCCAACCAACAAGAAGAATATAATCCTGACTTTCCCCATTCACCAGGAAACAGTCTTGTTAAAACAAAAATTTGTTTATTGAGCTATTCCTCTTTGGTAGTTCCTGCAATTACGTATAAAAAGGTGACTTCTGGAATAACAGATAATGTATGTAGAAGGAAAACTACCATCCAACAAAGTTGGCTTCATTATCAGTCAAATCCCGCATTTAATAATCCTCAGATATGACTCCCATTCCACTGTCTCTAATAACACTTTTCCAACCATCTTCCTAAAATCAAATTTTGTTTAAGTTACTGTTGAGAATACACAGGTTAGAAACTTGAATATTCATGTATCAATTACAGAATTCTGGGATGAAGATATAGATGCTGAGTTTATAATGCCTACGAAGATACAGAAGTGATCTTTAGAAGTAAGTGCTGACAAACTTTACTTCAGCAACACTGGTTATAACAAATAGTGTTATGAAGCAAAGTAATGCATTTCAAATTCAATACTCTTCCAACCTATCAGTAAAATAAGAAAACAGGTTAAGAGCCTATCAATAAAATATTAGAAAAGAGACTGGTCAGCATATTATTAGCTAAACCTCCTGAAAGACATTCAACTTCTTCTCAAAACATCGACAGAAAAAGAAAACAATGTTGAACAACCAAAGCTAGCTAAACAAAACACAAAACAGCACTAATGCTTCAGCACTGAGACTGACAGCCACTATGTAAGTCCTCTGCAAAACACATAAGCAATGATCATTGCAAAATATTTAGAACCACAGAATAAAGCTAGTGGATAGTACAAGAAAGTTACAGTGAAACCATACAAACACAGTGGAGGAAGTATGTCCATGCACAACTAATGTTCAGGATACAGCTGTGGTGGGGAGAAAAAAAAAGGCAACATTCAGATGGTTTAGACTGCTTCAGCTGCAGAAGAGACCCCTTCCAGTTCAGTATTTGCCCCAAGGAAAGAAGAGCTGACTGACTCCTTTCACATGTTATTGCTCAAATGGGTGAATATTTTTCAGTCATTTACCTCTACGTGGCAAAATCATCTGCTTCTAAGTAACTGGGAGAGGGAAGGGAGAATATGCTAAAAATTAGGTCAAGTCTGATTCCTGCAACTTCTCTCTGCTGGCAGTCTCATAGTGCTTTACTAAATCTCTCTGGCTTAAAACAATTAAGGAAACACTGGTCAAGACTGAATTAGCATTGCAGAGAGGAAGAAAACATCTTATGGATAAAAAAGAATCCCACATTTATGTAAATTACTAGATAATCTACTGACATGGTGAGAGATGGTGCTGGATTCCTGACTGTGAAAAACTCCACAATGTGGCAGGAGCCCAGAAGTCAAAAGAGCAATTCTTCAACAAGCTACAATCCTGAAGTGAAAAAAATCTGACTATAATATCACAATTCTGAAAACTAACACAGCAACTGACTTGAGATGGAAGTTAAAGCCAAAGAATTTTTTGGGCCTCCTAGCAATATTTTTTGCTGTCATCAGACACTCCAGGTGATGCTGCTAAAAGCTGGTGGCTGTGTCTGAACAAGTAGGAGCAAGGAGAAAGGGTGTGAAAGTCCTTCTGACTAGTCATGATCTGCCTGATGCATGATCATCAGGATGAAAGAAACTGTGTGATGAGGACCATAGAAAAAAGTTAATTTGACAACAGCAATAATATGCTGACTGCCTTTAAATACATAGTTCTTTTAATACTTCTGTTAGTATCTTCCTATATCAGCATGAAATGCCACATATATATATACACACACAAAAAAAAGACAGTTACGTATTTCATAAATTGCATGCTATTTCTACTGAGAATTTATTATACTCAATCAGGACTTGAGATGAAACTTATCTCCTCTTTATTGAAAAATTCTACATAGCACACTCTTCAAACTTTGTTTTCTCACCTATTTTTATGAAACTTTTGAACAAAACTAAGCATTTAAGAATTTTAGATATTATCTACTTTTAAAAATAATAACTTCAGTTAAGATCAGAGCAAAAGATCAGTTTCTGCCACTCATTTTTATTCATAAGGTAATTACAACAACCACACTTACTACGATGAAATCGGCTTTACTGAATCTCTCCATTGTATTCAGAATACTTGGAATTGTGCTGATACAATACTGGTGTAGATCCTTTATGACAGTTAATACATTCATTATTGGCATAATTTAATTAGGACCCGGATCCCCTGCATTTTTGCTGCATATAGGTTTGGTAGTGGTGAAACTTTATATTACCACAACTACTGACAAATTTAGTTGTAACAATACAGATGGATAATTTTACTTTTTTATCTACAAAAAGACTCTTGCAACACTTCTGAAAAATAAAGGGTTCCTCAAACACATAATCAAAGAGATTTAAGCTGCCGCTTTCTCCTAACACTTCAATTTTTATTTAAGGTTTGTCTCTGTCCAAAAATTTAAGTCCTAGCTAACCCATTTCAGTAGATGTAAATGTTATGATGAGTTGAAGAATATTTATACTACTGTAATTCTGTTCAAGCATCATCCTGGACAGGGCCTTTCTACTGCTTTATAAAAACAGGAAAGTATTCTCCTCAACTGATAGTGTCTGCCAAGTAAGCACACAGCACACACATCAGTAGCTGTTCAGAAGATAAGTCTCCATTTCCATATGGAATCAGGTCTAAATTCAATGAGTTTAAAATTATATTTTTTTTAAAAAATATTTAGCAGTGAAGATTTTCCTCTTCTATTTTTGGTAATGAACTAGAATGAAAGATTTTCCTAAGAAGTGTAAAAAAAAAATAGTCTTGCTATAAGAGATGCTAACTTTATTTTAGAGGCTCAGTAGTTAAAATTGATGGAAGCCTTTGTTTATTTGTCATTTATCTGCTTTTAAATACTTACAGTGAAAAATACGGAAATCAATGTATGGATGAGAACCTCTTCTCTCTGTTTCAAATCCTGCCCGACTTCTTACTCGCACATCTCCTAGAAACAGGGTCAAGAGTGAAATAAAAGTGTGGAAGAGTGGCAGAGATAAAATGCAAATGAACATAGCCTGGAGGGGTAAAGATTCATGTACTTAATGGAGGAGAGTAATTCAAACAATAGGCCTACTTCAATGTTTTTGTTTTAAAGGTGAAATTCAAAACAAAGTTTGAAGACTTGTTAAACATGCAATCACATGCTTTCTTGCCAAAATCTCTCCTGCCTATGCATACGTTGCCAGAAGCATGTGATAAGCATTCAGATGAAATCAGGAAGAGCTTGCTACACCAGTATGGTAAAAATGCACCTTAATATGACAGAAAACAAGAACATTTAAAGTTGATTTGTTCCTCAGTAACACACATACAACGATAACATTTTGTAGAATACAAAAAAGATTCAATTTCTAGAAATGGTAGCTTTTAGCAAATAAGCTAGTTACAATAAGGTTTTATATTATATATTTTCCCACTAGCATTTACTTACTTGTACTCAGCTGTTTGAATATTACACAAGAGCCTATTAAAATACCAAAACTCAGTATTAAAATTTGATCAAACTATTTTGCACTGTAATTAGCTTCAACCTGAATCTTTTAGCATGCTAGTTATACTTCTACTTATGCATTTTACCAACTGAAAGCTGATCAGTATTTTTTTATTAGATATTTGTATGTATTAATATAAGCAGTTCACCTGGATTAAAAGCTTGCACTTAAAATCCTTTTGCAATTACAAATTTGGAGAAATCTTCGAGGATCAAATGCAATAGTGTTTCCCTCCACAAACCGTAACAAAGATAAATTTAAGATGTGCAAATGTTGTGGTTTCTAATTATGAAAATCCATCAAGTGTCGTATTCTCCTCACTTCAAACACAGCATTTTCCATATGAAACCCAAATAAATAATTAACAAAAAGCACTATGACTGAGTTTATAAGAGCTAAATAAAACTGTAACTATTTATTTTTCATCAAGTAGTAAACATCTTAAAAGCTTTTTTTTTTTCTTTTTTCTTTTCTAACCTGTTAAAGTGTAATGCTGAAGTCAGCAACTTATCAGAAAATAGCTAAAGGTACTGACTCACACTTCAGTAATACACTTTAACACTTAACAGGCATCTTTCTAGAGATACATATCTATAAACACTAACACATCTACACTGACAACTTTACATGAATGTTATCTTGTGAGGCGTGTTTGAAGGACCACAAAAGGTCAAGTAGGCCAAGGGCTCCCCTGAAGTTCGCACATCAGCAAAAACATAGTAAATACATGTGCCTTTCAGTTATTAATCCTTTTCTTTTTTAACTGAAAACCTTTACCGAGCTGCAAGGGAAAGCAACCCAATTACTATCTGCAAGTATTATTTTTCAGACCACTTACAATATATTACTTAAAAAGGCTTCAAGCATTCATTTGAGTGGAGTGCAAAAGACTTGTCTCCTTCCAGGCAATACAGAGGCAGCAAATTGTAGAACTCTTCTGTTAGGCCCAAGCAACTGGTGAATTTTATTTGCAAAATAAATTAATAAAAATGAAAAAGGGAGGGAACTTTGGAAGAGAGAGGGTAAATGCATTAGTAGCTGTATATGAAAATAACAGTGTATACGGAGGAAAATTCTACTTTCATTACCTTTCACTCATATTTTTCTGGGTAATCAGGCATAGCTACAGCTGTGTGAATGACCTCACCAGCTATATTAAAAGAAAATAATAGAGGTTTTAAAGTGGAGCTAATTTCTTCCAGAAAAGGTGATATAGCTTTTGTGATTTATTTTTCGTTTAAATGCAGTTTTTTACTTTTAGAATTTCCAAACCACAGTACAAATTAGTAAATAGTTTCAGCCAATGTAAAACTAGGTTTTGGCAAACAATTTAAGTGTCAAGAATGGGAAAAGTGTACAAAAAAATTCCTGAAGGTCAACATGGAATTCTGCAAATAACAAAATGAACAGGTTCATCTGATAAATGATGTCCAGAAAGTTTCTCTCTGCTTTATTCTTTTTCATTTACTAGTACCCTTGACTAACAGCACAGACAGAATAATAATATCCCTGGCACCCTTGAAATGCCTGCAATGTTGAGAATGTTAGGGATGAAAATAAGAAAAACTGTAAGTAAAATGAAGAAGTTCAACTGACAACATTACTTTGAACAGAAATTATTAGAATATCTATTTACAGGGATATTTAGCCAAAGAAGGAATTGTATACTAAAAATGCACATGGCAAACTAAGGAAAAAGGGAACTGTAATAAGATAGAGCTAAAATTACTGTAATTGCCTGCATACATATAAAATGAGAAATTCCCAGCAAGGAAAGCTAAATATTTTAATTACATAGTTATTGAACAAAAGTCTCTCTCCCTAATCATGGTAGAAGAAGCTATTTAAAAAAAAACAACAATATCTCAACAATGGATTAGTTTTTTTAGAATACAACTGGATTAATTCTGGAAAAATATACCCCTTCTACAGGACTAGAATTGATTACAGCAAACAAAGCAGAAAATTCTCTTGTGCCAGAACAAAGGCAAAAGAGATGTCTCCATTATCATGGTACAGAATTGCTGCATTTTTCATGATTTGAGACAATCAATGTACTTGAAAAATATTGGTACAAGTGGAATTTGATGATACCATACATCCGTCTGAAGTTTCTAAATATACAGAAGGAGAAAAAGGAATCACTGGCTGCACATTATGAAACAATGTGCTATTAGCACAATGAAACTAATCTCTAGTGCATATGTATAGTTAGTTCCAAAACATCCAGAAATACTGGAACATTGTTATGCCTTCACTCTTTGGTTAATGTAACCCGCAGAAGATTAATGGATCCCAAATGCACCCACTTCATTGTACCTTCACACAACGTAACATGTTCACATCGATTTACTTGGGAAATCCTACACAAGTGTTTTGCAACCCTGTGACTCTGAAGTTATGAAAAATTTAATTTTAAGGAAGAGACATGTTTATCTTCACAGGGAACCTGACAAAAAAGCACAAGATATCTCATATTTGAGATTACTTTTAACAAATAAAAGGACACTGTTACATAATTCCTTCAAACAGCAACAGAAGTCCAACCTCAGAGCCAACCATTATTATGGTAGCTGAAAGACTATTAAAATTCAACACCTAAAACAAAAGAATTTACAGATAGTTTTTGTTTATTTAGACCTTAACAAACATATCAAAATGATTACACAATCTTTTAATGTCATCAGATCCCACAGGCTGCTTTTAAGTGACTTTCCACGGGGGAGGGCACAGAAGTGGTAGCAAGCCGACGGACAGCTTTCATCTGAAGTGTCTCTTCTTGAGCCACTTCCAGTCACACTGGAAAGATTCCTGTGTTACTTTTATGGAACACATTCAAGTCCAGCATCTTAATGATATTGGACTTCCAGGAACAATTTTTTCCCTCTTTGAGAGTTTTGCCAATTCCAAAAATTCAAGTGAAAGATTTAAAAAATGTGAAGTCTTCCTTTCCAAACTTCATTTGGAGCACAAAAATGATACAATATCTGACAGCAGATTATTTAGCTATACTTTTTTCCAGAATAGTCCTGCATGATCAGGACATTTTAAGACAAAGATGACACTGGCAAAAATTTAATTGAAGACTAAATAAATCATGGAAGAAGGAATGTAAGAGGGAGGTTTGCAGCTATAACTCAAAACTGAAAAGAAATTAGGGCTGTAACAAAACTTACCTTGAAACAGATTGTTTAGTTCCTGCCCCTCTCTCAGATTCCTGCTCACACAAGGACAGCTCTGATACTTACGAGGCAGCTGAAATGCCACAGCTGACATCCCTGGGTGTTAGGGTTACCCAGCTAGTACCAGATAGTACTTGGTGCTACCCTAACACTGCAGTGTAGCACAGTAACAATGCAGCAGCTGCTTGGGGAGCTGAGGCCATCCGAAGCAGGGACAGAAACCTCAGAGACCATGGAGGACAGCTGGGAGCAGAAATTATGACAGCCACCTCAAGATAAAGGACTCAAGTCAAAGCCATGAGCTTGTGAAGTGTGGGATTTTCAGACAGAATTACTAACTTCACAGATTAAAATTCCTATTAAATTTGTTGAAGAAACAGATGACAGGTCAACTGAATGTGCCAGAATTAAAGCAAACAGAACACAACATAAAAACCACTACCAGAGAAGAGCGTGCACAGTACACAGCAGCTTTTCTCCAATTTTTCCTATTTGAAGTGATCAAGACCTGTAAAGGGAGATAAATGCTCCACTTGTAGCTGAGAGGTGCATGCTCACCAATACAAGCAGTCAGTGCACCACACTTTCTACCCATGCACAGTAGAAAAACTTACAGTCAATACAAAGCAACAAGAAAAAGAAACCAGAAAAGCAATAAAAAAATCAAGAAAGTATCAAGATTACACAGAAGCACTTACAAGATATTTTGACAATTCCTCATAGTTGCTGAGACAAGTGGTTGAGGTGATGCAGATGTATTTCCAAGATCTTAAAAGAAAAATTCTACAATGCTGCATCTGTATCTATATTTTAAAATAGTAAATAAGCCACTCGGGAGTGGCTTAGTGTATATTTTGGGAATGGGGTATGACAGATGAGTCATTACAGTCATTGCTGCTTGTTTATATCCACACACTGATGAAGGCAGTTAGGAGTTAGTTTTTTATTTTGCATACCCCTAAAACAGGATCTTTTAAATTGAACCTGGACACACTGCTATACCACAGGAATTCCTATTTAATTGGTATAAATGTATTTTCATTGGATTACCATTGGAACAGCCTGAAAAAAACACTGAATGAAGCAACTTCATGGCCAGTACAACTAAACAAATGCAGAGGGAGTTATTGTAGGTGCTCTTAGCCTTCTATTTTTTGTCTGCTAAGATAAACCCCCTATCAAGGTACATTTTATTAGTAGATATAGTCTGCATGGAATAAAACCAGCCAAGTAAAAGGCAAATCTGCTCTTGACTGTGCCTAACTTCCCACTAAGTTACAGCTGAAGATTCATTATAGCTTATTCTGCTCAAGTGTATTAAGATAAATAGAACAAAAACAAAACCCTCATAATAATGTAGGAAATGGAATGCTTCACATTTCTTGCAAACAATTGTAATGGAATATATTAACCCTTGAATCTACTCTGATATGAATGTTTCTACATACCGATGAGTCCAACTGTTCAGCTTTCAGGCTGGTCTTTTTTATGGTCCATTTACAAGTACAAAAATAATAAATATGTAAATAGTTGTTAACTTGCACATAACATTTGGGAAAATCAAGTGATCTTTATTAAGTAAGAAAATAATACAAATTTATCACACAATGATTTAAGCATGCTGTCAGCAATTTTTTGTTTGCTTGTTGGTACCCTCCTCCCCCACCTAAGTTGGAAGTCAATCCTTTAAAAGATTTACTGCTTCTGAATAGCAGAACAGCATGAATGAATTATGCCAGCAAGAGTATATTATTCATAACAAGCACCAATTTCATTATGTAATAATTAATTCCAATGAGAGTACAAGTGAAAAATTAATTTACTTAACATCATGTTCTGAATATTTTCCAGTTCCACGTATGAGAACAGTGGAAGACTTCCAAACCAAATTAGATTTTTCCCTCCATTCAGATGTATATACCAAAAACTAGAGGAAGCCATGCTTTGTTTCTCTCTAGAATTACTTTAGCATCACAAATCCTTCTGCAGAAGTTATGGGCCTAACTACTTCATTTTAACTTTTGAAAACAAAATAAACCTATTTACAACAACAACAGAAAAACCCAGCAGCTTTTTCAATAAACATTTAGAACTCAACATCTTCTGTTCTCATCTTAACAAATCTCCAAAGTAATAAATTCTTTGATCAAAACCCCTTCAGTAGACAGTCAGTGCTATAGTATTAACAGCTTCACAAATGTAAAAACTCAAAATAACTGGAAAAAAAAAGTGAAGCTACTAAGTCAAAATTTGATTAATATGTATGTATGACCATATATTCCTACATATGTAGGTTAGTGCTATAAATTCATATATACACATACATATAGCTTACAACTTAAATCGACAATACAGATATGAATTTCTGTGGAATTTAACGTGTAAAATATACCACTAAACTGAAAAGACTCAGGGCATAAAAAGACATGATCTGGCTGATTTAATTTGAGATGGTTAAGAATTTCTAATGAGTAGCTGTTGGTGCTCATTGAGCTGTGTGAGACATCATGCAAGTATTCACAGTCCATTTCAACACAAATTCATAGCTCAAGGTGGCTTAAATTAAGTGGCATCATTTAGCAGTGAAACAGACTTAGATCACATACACAGTCCCCGTGCCATCTGCACCACCAGCAGCCTTCAGAAGAGGTGCGGGAAATACTGAATCTGGCAGCCAGATCTGCAAGAGCTTTGCATCTTTCTCCTCTCAACAAGTGACCTCAACTCCTTCTGTGCATTCACTATCACAGAGGGTGTCCCCTAGATGCTTTCCCCTCCCAATACCATCATTTCATTTGAATTCAGCTTTACCCTTTATGTCTTTACTACTCTGGAAATACTCCTCAGTAAGTAGAGTGAGCTACTTGGCCCTGTCAAGCACCCTTTCCCCTCTCAAGTCACCTTCTAGGATTAATGAGAAAAATATTGTTTAAAATCATGTCGTTATTTCAAGAACACCTCATATATTTCATAGCCTCAGTATTGAAGTTTATAAGAGTGTGTGGTAACTCTCCAATGAGAGTTCTCTAAGCCACAGCTTTAACTAGAAAGATATTATGCAGAGGTGGCAAATTCCAACGCAGAAAGATCAATCAGGAGTCTCTTAGAAAACTTTACTTCTACCAAACACATTGCGTTAATTATAAGAACTTCCCTTTTTCTTTAATATAGGAGTAAAGCATCCTACACAATGTTTAACTCAGGAAAAAAGAAAAGACAAAAGGCAAACAACCAAAAAACCAAGTCAACACAAAAGAATCCAAACTCCTGTAGATATTCTAACCAAAATATTATCCAGGAGAAAGAGAACGGTAAGTTTATTAATTCAACAGAGATATAAAAAAGTTATTATTTAAATCAATCATAAATGTTGGAACTTGCAATATAGAAAATTGTATGCTTACCTAGCATACGAATGTACAACGCAGTCTGATCAGAGCTGTCATAGGAAATTGCTCCACGTCTCTGGAAAAAAAAAAAGTGTCTATTAGGCAAGTTAAAAGCAAATAATTTTTAAATTGAAATGAAAATGAAGTATTAATTGACAATTTCCATTTCAACTCTTAACACTAATTCTAGAAATTGTGTGTCCTTCATGCAAATGCATCTTTCAAGTATGCATATCTACTGATTTTGCTTTAAGAGGGGACAAAGGAAGGATAGGAATTGGTAGTGAAAAGATTATGAAAAGCGAGATCGGAGTGTGGTAAAAAACACCCCAATATATTTCTTTCCAGTGTTCCTCAATCATTCTGCACAACAGAAAAGACTTAGAATGAGATTACACAGACACAAGAAAATGCTTCTCATAGCCTTCTAGAACACCATACTTGAAACAAATACTTGCAGATCCCCGTTTATATTTATACTTTCACCTATGGGGTATTCCATCTTCCAAAGGAAGAATGAAAGAAGGAAAGATGTAGAAGAAATGAAATTACACCATTACTGGAGCCCTGGGATGCCACATACTACTTTCATTCTACCCTGTACTTTCTGTAGGCAAAGCAAGGTACCACTGAGGTAAGATGTTATACATAAAGGCATTTCAGAGAAAGCCAGCAAGTAGTATTTCCAATTTGATGATTAAAGTTCAGAAGAGTCATCAAATTATCCACATACAACACTGAGATACTCCCACATAAGCTGTGTTTCTTACCTACATGGGACACATACATTTCATACATATTCAGCTACTGCAGTAGTTAAAATCCAGGAAGTCTCTCACAAAGTATTGAACTGGACCTGTAACAGCTAAAAACTGGAGGAATGTTCTCACTGGCATCACTCAGTCTGCAAAGCATGACTCCACTTAGCACCCAACCTAACATCTTGCCTTTATTGTACTTTGACAATCTTCTGCCCCTTCCTCAGACCTTCATTAATGTTACTTGTTAATCCCAGGATTAGAGGATCACCTTCACAGTCAGACCTCCTTTTTGACAGTTCAGACCATTTGTTCTTCACAGAAATAAGATTTTTTTGGTTTTGGGAGACGTACATTAGAAACACCTATGACCTTTCTCTGTACCCCACACTTAATTCTTACACTCAGGACAGTGAAGTCCTTGATGCCACCAAGAGTCACCATATGCCTTTGAGAACTTCAGATAAAAGTCAGCCTGGTGGCAAATACAATCACCCTCTTTTTCATTTGTGCATCAGGAACAACACTGTCTCATGGACACACAACAGCCTTATTCTTCTCTTATTCAAAAGATAAGAAATCAAACCATGTTAGGAAACAGGATAGAAATTATAATGTTGGCTACTGCGAAGAATTATGAAGGAAAAAAAATTAAGGAAAGAAAAATTACATGGAAAGGTAAAATGGCAGAACTGCTGATATGCATCTACCTACAGAACAAACTGAATTAACTCAAAGACAGACTAGAGATGAATAACCTCAATCACTGTGATTGGTACAAGTGATGCACTAAGACTCCAAACTTGAAAGTTATACTTTTTTAAAAAAAATATTTTTAATGCCAAAACAAAAAAAAATAAAACATTATTTTTTAATGGCTGTAGAAGTTTTTTTTTCCAAAAAGTAAGTTTAATATGCAATTACAGAAGTGACCAAAAGACCTAGCTCCAAATGGGGTCCAGTAATAACAGCTGTTGTAAAGACTACAAGGAAGTAGCACAGAACCTGTACAGAACCTTTATGTTGTCTTATATTTTGTTCTTTATTTCCTTGGAAGATCATAAGCCATGCAAATAATTCCACAATATATGTTTTACAGCATTTCTCACATCAGCAAGCCTGTCCCAAGGGGGAAGGCAGAAATACAACTCATCACCCAGAAAATGATGCTGACTTCTCACTAACATTTTCAATGTTTACCATTAAACTTGCCTTTGAGTTTCAGAAAATCTCAGCTGAATATATTTTCTGTAGCCTGGAACATTTCATATCACTGACAAGGCACAATCAGTGATGTAATTTAGTGCTAACTTGCAATTTGCACCTGTCTATCACAGACCTCTGGACATGCCCAGTACAGTTCTGTAATCTAATACAGGAGAAACCCAAGCACACATGTAGCTACAAGACCCACATACAACTGGAGCATTAGTCTCCAAGAAAGAAAACAATATACAAAAATTCACTGAAAAATAAATCCTTTTGATACATTGATTCTAAAATATTACTTGCTCCCCTAAAGTTAAATACTGTTAGATAAAGCAGTATGTATAAAGTAGTGCATACATGTATAATATCAAAGCATATTTTAAAAAACATACAGTAGCTGCTTATATGGACAAGTGATTTTGCTCTGCAAGGATATATTTGAAACCATCAAATCTAGTAAAATTACCTTAGAAAGTTTGGTTCTATAAGGAAAAGTAGAGACAATCTATTGTATAAATTTCACTAGCAATACTACACAAACAGTAGGACTGTTTCAGCTAGTTCTGCTAAAAGGGCTGAGGTCTCAAAGACACTTATTCACTGAAATTTGTTAAATAAAGGAGGTAAGAGGAAAACATGTATTAGCAAATTCCACCAACAGATGCTGGGTAGATGACGAGTGGTCAGATCTTTTATCTCTAAACCAGGCAAGTAAGTGAGGTACAGAGACTTGAGCACTGTGGTAGGCAGTCAGAGAAAAAGGGCAAAGCTAATGGTACAGAGGTTTTTTAGCAATTTGTGCTAAGTAAACGAATAATATTGCACTCATCCAGATACAGATAGCTTTGTGTCAGCTTACCCTGCAAATACATAACAGACCATCTACTGCAGGCATCACCTATTTTCCCACTTCAAAAAATACTGTCAGTGCATTTATTATTCTACCCCCTACAGTACTCTAGAAAAATGTAAGGAAAAAGGCAGAAAGAGAGAAATAATTTAACATATATTGTGTATGCTTCTTTAAGATATACTGCCCAGATTCCACTACTTAAACAAACAGAAAAAACAGATTTAATGCTTTTACTGCAATATGATCTGACAGCAAATTCATAAGAAGGAAAGCAAACGTGTCTTAAAGAACTAAAGTTACTGTGAAACACTCAACCATTCAAACAATTTAATCAGCATGATTTTACCCCTTCTGATGACCAAAAATGCCACCCTCTGCATTGCTAATCAAAGGCCCACTCGCTGTAGCCTACACCAAGACTATACCTACTCTAAAAATATACCTTACTTACACAGTTGAGACAACCATAGCATACACTGAATCACACTACAAACACCTTGGATGAGAAATCTTTGTGGATTAAGGCTGGCATCTGGCCCCTCAAAATATTAATTGTTGTCATGTTATTGACAATATTTTTAACTCATTTAGCATAAAATTTTATTTCTAAATCTCTGTGTCATCTCTTCTGTGTACCAAAGATCTGTACTAATAACAATATTGACCCTCATAAATAAATATCAAACAAATAAGCACCATTCCAGCAAGCAGACAGAATTACTTAGTGCTCAAAGACAAGATAACCCTAATGTGTTTGTGTTCAGGCAGGTTCCGTTCTCAAGCACAAGAAGAACTTGGTTGGTGGGAATGTGATGGACCCTAAAGTGATTCCACAAACTCCTTCAAATGATTAAGTGAACTTCTCAACTGCTCTCCTTCCCAGGCACAATTACAGTTGCCTGAACTGGGTGGGCTGTTTTGCTTCAGCAGCGAAGATGGATGTCAGAAAGATGACTGGGAAGGATTGTTTATACTGGACTTCCACTTTCAATGCCTCACTTTAAACTTCTGTTTCACACTAGAGTTGCGTTTATTCTTCCAAAGGGTAATAGAGTAAAAAAACTTCATTTTTTCCTCTCTTTTGAGACATATTTGTGGAAAGTGAATGGCAGAAGTTCAAACTGAATTGGAAGATCCATTAATCTTCTAAGAATAACACTGTTATAAGGACTCAGCAAAAACACGCAAAGGGAGTATCAACCAGAACTTAGATCTCTCTGAACATCTTTTCACAGAGTACTGAAAGTTCTTAAAGGCCATGCAATGGGAACAACATGCCAAAATAGCACACAGATACATCTTCAAAGAGAAACCGCTTCAGTGATGCTTGGAGTACAAGCATTTGCATGTACCACTTGGTAACAGAGCACCTGCTGCTGTTTGTGTCAAACAGAAATGTTTCCATTGATGTATCAGTTTTATCACATAGACTTCCCAATCTCGTTGAGAGCAGAGCACCAGCATTACTGCTGGGCCCTTCATTTTGGCAAGGGCCAGCTTGTGGACTGTCAAGCAAAACAACTCCAGGTCTCATTCTTTAACAAAACCTGCTAGAGCTGTTGGCCTTTAAAACTCAGCAGCAACTATCAGAAACAACCATCCATGCTTTTTGATGGTCTACACAACCCTTATTTTGCTACTCAGTTGTTTATTCAGAAGCTGGGAAAGAAAGGACAGAGAGCAACACAGCCAGGCAGGTGTTTTCACCTACCTGACTTTCCAGTCCAAGCTCTTTGCTGAACTACCAGAGCATTACTCTCAACTACTCTGAAGACAAGTGTGGAGTTGTTCTACCATGGCAACTGCAATGTACTGGTTGTGCTGCCTCAAATATACACACTTGGAAAGCATTTAAGATCATAAGACAGTTTATGAACTAGAAGTCTTGGAAATGGCAAACTAGTTAAGACCTTATTTCTCCAACTCTTATTTGATTTCAAAAGCAAGACTGTAAGGTATCTCAGACTTATTTCAAGTATTTAAAAAATCCATGCTAAGATTCAGTTTTCCAAAAGGCACCATCAACTTTTTAAGTAAAGCACAAAAAAAATGCACTTTACAAGCATTTAAAGTGACATTGAATTCAGGTAAGCCACTGCAAAATGGTCCTACTATTTAAAAATTTCACTGCAGCTCAAAGCATTACTCTGAAAGATTATCAAACCAGCAGCAAGAGAATGTCATTAATACTGCCTTCCTGGAATTTCATCACCAATAAGAACCACACCTTTCCTTCAAATATTCAGATGTGACAAT